TTTGTCTGTTGCTTTTCTGGTTGCATTTGAACGCGTATTTTGTGGGAGACGAGCATGATTTGTCGCCCTGATTGGCTAATCTCGAAGTTGTGTCAAACGCTCATGTAGAGCTTACAAATGGGGTTTTGCGTTTTCTCCTTCTTCCATTCATCTTGTCAGTCGTTTGTTTGCGAGGCTTTCGAATGTTGGATCATCAAGAAAGTAGTAGTGTAGGGATCAATTAACCTCGACTCCTCTTTTCGTCGTAATTTAATTTGACAAAGTGCATATTGTGAGCACATTGAGAGGCAGCCTCAAGTCCTTAATATATCCAGTCCCTCCCTCTAAGGAGGAAGACGGGACTTTGGCAACTCGTCTGTATTGAGTCTCCGCAGATTGGGCCATTCGTGGTGTGTGGTCAGTTAAGTTGGGATTTGACCTCTGACCCAGTGTGTAAACAATTGTCGTCGGAGAAAGTTTAATCAGAGAACATTGACCAGGCGAATTCCCCTCCCCCCCGCGCTGGATATATTCCTTGATTTTGTCCTTGTTTGTTCGAGGTGGAGGCGCTGATAGCTGCAAATTTACTGGAAGATGCCACAATGAAGGTGGAAATCGACCGCAACTTGAAGGAAATCTTCTCCGACCGTCATGTTTTCGATCGTCGTCAGAGATCGGTACGTTGTTTTGATCGAGGTGCCTTCACTTGCACACCACCGTACTCCCATGTCTGACGTGGGCATAATTTGCGTGTTGTGTTTAGGTGGAAATTCTTCGGCAATTGAAGTTGAGTGATGTGCAGGACTTCTACAGGGAGACCTACCACAACCTGGAGAAACAGCCAAGTCTGATGATCCAGGTGAGTGTGATTTCAGTGGACTCGAACAAGCCTGCAAATTGGAGAGCCACTTGACACACCGTTTGTACTTCAACTTGTCTGCATTGCGTCGCGCTGCCCTGCGTTGCGTTGAACCCATAGGGAATTTTGTTGTGCAAGGTTATATAAATGCAAGGTAGTTCAGGACGAATGGAGGCTTTTGGGCCTAGAGGGAAGGGAGAACAGGCTGGGATACTTCGGGACACAGAAGGAGTTGTCAGTTCGGCGGAGCGATGCTATGGCACGGAAATGCTAAACTGCTTAATCCACGGGCGTTCGTAAGCGTCTGGTTCCGTGAATGTGCAAAAGAATTACTTCATGCTGCAGTCGTACCACGGTCTTGATTTTCACTGACATGCACGCAATTGGTTGGTGGTTTTGGAAACAATTGCGCCAATTAAGTGTTCCTTAGCGGCTGTGCGTTAGTACCACTACAGATGCGAGCATCCACCTGTTCCGCGTTTTTGTCATCGGGAAACTTCTTCATCACCCCCCATTGCACTCACGCACTGCCCCCATCGCTACCACTTTCTGCAGTCATCTTGGCTGACTACATGCGCCACTGTTAGGCACATTTTGCTTGAGGCATGGATGCTGTACTCGATTTATTGCTCCACTTTTCCTCCATCCCCGTCGTCTACCCCTTAGGTGGACGCCCTGAGTGACGTGGAGTCGACGGATGATGCCTCATCAGTGGACGGGAGCGCGAAGGCTCTGAAGACCTTTGATTGGCCGCTGTGCATAGTTCCGATGAGTGGTGATCAGGCGGAGGCGGAGCGGAGCGCGGCCCTCTCGGTGGATGTGCGCGAGGCGGTGCTTGCCTGTGCGCCCAGCCTCATCACTGATGCTGCAAAGGGCGATCCTATCCCCGAAGACAAGAGTGTGGAAGTTGCCCTCCCGCGCATCGTGGAAATACCGGAAGTGCGCGACTTCAAACACAAAGTTCTCTTCGCGCCGTCAGCTTAGAAGTTTGCGTGCCTGCGTGTGTGTGTGTGTGTGTGTGTGTGTGTGTGTGTGTGTGTGTGTGTGTGTGTGTGTGTGTGTGTGTGTGTGTTAAGCAATAAGACGGTGGAGTAGTATTGACGCCTTTACCCCCCTTCCTCATCTTCTATTTCTCCATCTTGGCTTTGGTATTGACTCCCTATTACTGCTTGATTGAGTGAACTATGAACATGAAGTGACAATTGGTTTTCAGTTGAATTTGATGGCTTGCGTTGACTGTAGGTGGTGCTTGTGTTTCTGAGGAATTGGGTGTGGATGTCTGTTTGTTGTCAGGTTGAGACGCTTTAGTTGATAGTCTTGGATTTTGGACAGAATGAATGTACCGAGATTCGGTGCCTGGGTTGGGGTTTTCGAGGTGTGGTCGTCTTTTGTGTTCCTCTGATGTAGCCTTGTGGCGAAAACAGTGGAGGACAGCATGAGGGAGGAGCTTTGAACATGGGGTGATAAAGAGGAGTTCAAAGAGCTTTACTGATAGAAATAGGATTTTCAGAGAGTGAGATTTCTGTATGCATGATCTTGTAGAAGGTGATGCTGCAGTATAGGAGCAATGAACACCGTGGATCATTGGCGCTGGATTGGAAGGAATGAAGCATTCCGTTGGCGCCCATGGCCTGGTCATCTGCTGAATTGTCGACATAATCGGGAGGGAATGCGGTTCCATGGGGTAATTGTGATTGTGGATGAGTTGCCACAGCACAGCTTGCATCGTGGAGGTTGTCACTATCGCCGGAATGCAGTGGTGCTGGATTTCAAGGAGGATATAGAAGTTCACCATTGGTGGAACTTTCATGCCAATTAACACCGAAGATGTTGTGTATCTCCAGTACAATTAAAGTTGGATTTGCTACTGAACTAGGTGCACGCTTTTTCGTGGCGTCAGAGGGAATAGAGGTGAGGAAGATGCCTATTTATTATTTTGCGTGGTTCTGCTACTTCCATCGCTGCCGATGATGGTGATGATAGCAGCCCCTGTTAAGGTACGCAAATTCGTAAAATGAAGCTTTGGTCAGGAGGATGTAATAGAGTTCTTTACAAGCATGTTTGTTGAAAGCTTTAAATTGTCAAGATTCCCAAAGAACAATTCTCTTGACAGGGGATGAATGTGTGGTGTTGGCCGCAGGATGTGTCAGAGTTTCGCATTGAATGTGCCTGCTCAATTGAATTGGATTAAGGCTAACCCATAGTGGGTGGACAAGAGAGGGCTATTGGTTACCGGAAGGCCAGCCCACTCGGCGTTGTACGAAGGCCAATTGAAAAGTGGCTCCTCGGCAACACAGAGAGATGAACAACCATCGTATCACAAAAACGTTTTTACCCTCTATCCTTGTGCCATTTCTAGATTTACTCCCATTAAGTAGCAGTTGAAACTGACTGATGTAATTTAAACTTATCCTCTGTGCCAGTCAGTTTAACCCCGCTTTCGAATTGCAGTTAATAGCTTCCTAACAAATATGGTGCTAAGTATTGAGAAGATGTGGGATAGTGGCTGCAGGATTCGCCACCCCAAAGTCCAGAAAATTTTGATTCCAGTGATTAACAGCGTAGAGGGTAGTGATGCGATAACACGTGGCAAAGAAATTGGCTTATCGCACGATAATCACCTTCCTCCTCATTCTTAATCTGACCGTATAGATTGTCGACAGGTTTGGGTTCGAACACATTGCGTAACCTTTTATTTAAAGGCACTACTACTCGAATTTCTCTTGAAAGATCATTCCACGATTTACCCCCACATTACTCATCTTTCGCTTTCATTTATCTATACGACTTTGGTCATCACAAAGAGGATTATGCCTACTTAGGCTATCAAGGATTGCTACAGTATTGGATCGACAAATACCGATAATTTATCTATGGAATAGCTGTAGCACCCCCAGACTTTCCTGAGTCTGAACTGAGGTATAATACTAGAGCAGAATAGGTACTGGCGACATAGAGAAGGGCTGGGGGCAATTTACATGATTTGTAGCAGAACTGTGACTGCGGTACTCCAGTTGCCCTTGAAACCAAATTGAAGGATCAAACGAATAATTTAAGCACTCTTCGTTCCAAGGCTACAAAACCAAAAGGTAGTAGAAGAAAAGTGGAGTCTGTTGCATAGACACTCATTGCTACTGATACAAAACAACTGCTATAGTTCTGCCTAACCTTCATGAAAGAACTGAAGTTAAGATGGACTCTTAAGGTGAATTTATCTTAGTTCAATTAAATAAGTGGCCATAACCGCATTGACCTACAAATGGGTTTGGCAACTTCAAATTGGCATTTTGGCGTTCTTACGCACGATGAAAGGTTAGATGCAGTACAGCAAAGTTTGCATTCTAAGCATTGTATTCCAGCCAGCTTTAGCAATTTCTTATAAAATCATTTTGGCCTGCCTGTAAAGCAAGGGTAAATTAAGCATAAGCTTCTATCGTTTACTTCAGCATTCCGTTAAACCAAGAAGTTCGAATAAGTTGCCAGCACCACCTATTCTTGTCCATGATTTGCGCCTGTGGTTTTTTATAATAGTTTGCTAATAACTTGCCTTGCACGCCTCTCTAGTTTGCTGGGAATTGCTTCACAAGTGGTGTGAAATCGAATCGTCTAGGCACCAGATGTTACTGTGACGACCATGAACGTGTTTTCAAAGTTCAAAGATGCGTTGGCCATCAAGACAGAAAATCAACTCATTCTGCAAGTGTAGCTGGAGAAATTTGGATGTAGAACAAATTGCTCTTTGCTATATTCCCAATAATGAAAGATTATCCAGTTCAGGCTTCCGCCGGGGATGCCAGCTGTCCCAGGACTACGCAGACACGGTAAAATGGTGTTTGACGTCAGAATTTGAAAAGACAACTGAAAAAGGCATTTCAGCAGCTACGTCTACGGTACGCCAAGGAATTAACAGGGCACCTCACATATACTTGAATAGGTTGCACGTAGGAAACCGATGCCACATGAAACATCCCCCTAGTGCTAGTTGAAACAGTAGAGAAGTTTAATCAGAGCTAGCCACCTTCTTATATACAGCATGATCACGTAAGAGACAAAAGGGCATTGGTTAGAGCAAACCCATCATAAAAGGAGATCGCTTGAGCGAAGCAACAAAAAGGCTAATGTCCTAAGAGCTGTATAAGAGGTGTTCAACCAAACGCCATCGATGGAGACTTCTAGTATCTCCATCCGACGTAAGTGTAACCCCCACTCATTACCTTCCATTTCGGTTTACATTATTATTTATGACTTTACCAGGGCCAAAGTGGATATTCAAAAACAGTCCTTTTCAGCGTGAATTGGCCACCTCCTCCTTCCCCTCCCCATCATCCAGTCGATAATAGCAAAGACGGCTTGCATTTCCGTGCTGAGGACGCCTGCGAATTTGGTAAACACGGTTGCATAAAGTTTAGGCATTACAGAACAATAAGTCAAGCTGCAGTATTAGCAGTCGCCAAAAAAGGAAGGACTGAAGATTAGCAAGACGATTTACGGACGATTTTGCTCAATTTCATTTCCCCTCCCTCTCGTCTACACCCCACCTGGTTT